GGAGGGTACTTAGGGAGCCAATGTTGGGACTGTAGGAGCCTCTGGAGAGTGAAGGCCCAGCCTCCAGAGACCCTCCTACAGGGAGGGGATAGCGGCCACGGGATTGGAGGGCCGCGGGGAAGGGATGGGAGCCGCAGTGTCGGCCACTGTGGCCTGCTCGGGGGCCCAGGTCATCTCCAGCCCGGGGTCTTTGGGATGACATAGCAGGTTGGGGTGCTTCCTGTACTGGGCTTGGTTCAGCTGGGGATCCGTCAACCAGTTCTGCTGCCACATGGGGGCCCGTGAAGTCCTGCAGGAGTCATCCCGTGATGGGCGTCAGGGTTCCCCTTCGGCGGTGTGCCTCCCCCAGCCCCGATCGGACTCGTCAAGTCTGGGGCTGTGAGACCGAGTAAGATCTTTACAAGCTGGGGTGCGTGCGTGTGCGTGCATGCACGCCCAGGTGTGACCAAGGGTGGGGACTTGCCGGGTGGGGCAGGTGCTGAGGGCAGGGGGAGCCGGAGGTGTCTCACGGGATTGAGAAAAACAAGATCCACAAAGCACTCTTTATTTATTTATTTTTGAGATTTTATCTATAGGACGCGTGTGCTCACTTCAGAGACAGAGAGACAGAGAGACAGAAAGTGAGAAGTCACCCCCGAGGAGGGATGGCCACGCCGCGTCCCTTCTCCTCCATTCTCCTCTCGGGATCTTGGGCACCACGCACACGTGCCCAGCGTGAGTTTTAAGCCACCGGGTCCAGGACTTGAACCATAGTCAACTACGTGGGAGTCCAGTGATGTAACCATTACGCCATCTGCAGGTCCCCCCAAAGCACTCTTCCCTCTCATCCCTGGGCCTCGGTTTCCCCGTCTGTGCAGTGGGGGAGCAGTCTCGGCCCTCCCAGGGCTGCTCTGAAGAGTAGCCCCGCTGCCGACGTGAACCGTGCTGTGGCTGCCATGGGGCACACCAGCGTGAGCTCAGTCGGTACCTGGCAGGGGTGTGCAGGAGGTCAGGTGGGTCCCACGGAGCTAGAGGTTGAGGGGCTGGGCGGGCCACTCCCCACCAGCAGTCACGGGGCTGGAGCATGAGCTCTGGGCCAGACCGCCGGGCTTCCGGGCTGGCTCTGCCTCTCTCAGCCCCCAGAGTCCTTCCCTGCAGGGAGGGCAGTATGGGGCTGAGCCTGCGGGCCCCCGAGGAGGGTGACGTGAGGGCACCCGTGGCATTCTTCTGTGTCAGTCCTGGGAGATCCCTGCAGGCCCCTGGGTCCCACGGGGCCACAGGGAGAAGGGACATTGCCACCCCTGGGCAGTATCTGCTGGAGGTCGGGGGCTCAGGCTAGCCTGTCCCAGTAACGAGGACCCAGGAGAGCCGGGGACATGGGGGACGCCCCTCGGCTCCCTGCTGGGCCAGGGCGCCGAGGCCGAGCCTTGGTCCTCACCGCCCACCTGCACCGGGCTGCAGGCCAGCCCCTGCCCGGGCCCCTCACACGCCACAGCCGGTGTCAGGCGCGACGCCCGA